CGAAAGGATACAGATATGGAAGGGGAGTATTGCTTCAGACAAAGGTTTGTCCAGAAGCCTGATCATGAAGAAAATGAGAGATTTTAACAATCTTTATAAATAGTTGAGCAGGGTGCATTCTCTGCTAGAAAACTATTCAGTGATGTTGATGTTGGTGTGTAATTTGACTGAATGCATAGTTATTTAACTGGCTCTGTAAATGTCTGATGTGTTGAACTACTCTAAAAATAAAAGAAAGCTTTTTCAAAAGTTTCAGCAAGAGGAGACATATCAGCATGAAAACACTTGGGAGCTGTAACTAGGTAGATTCAACTTTTAAGAAATCTTCACTATTTGTCAATTCTCTGTTTGCAATATCTTTGCTTACATCTAACCCCACAGAAATAAATACCCTTATTTCATGCCCCTTTGGGATAAACTGTGTGCCCTGCCTCAAAATGAAGCACTCTATACGTTTTCTTTACTAAATATCTGCCCAGTTCTAGTCATAAGTACCTAAGGTACCTCGGCTCTAACTTTCCAGTATTACACAGTTGCAGCTCTATGCTGATTCACCCACTCAAGAGGCATTGCTCAGCATGTTTATGCTCCTGTAATTGTTTTAGCATTCTGCCTTGTTTGTGATCTGAAGAGGATGGGCAGACAGTCCCATTCTCCTGTAATTGGCTCACATATGCCAGGCGGTTGTCCACTATATCAATCCAATGCACTTGTCTCCATTTTCAAGATGTGGGGGCATAGGCACAGATAAACGGGGCTGACGTGAACACAAAGCCAAAATCTGCTCCAAAATGTGCTCCAAGACACGAGTGACACGTAGGTACAGTTTTCAACAGGTCCTGGGGCCGGGTAACAAGTGCCATGTAAGCAAAACTGCAAGCATACCCCAAAAGGCTGAGTTTAAGAAGAGTAATTACTGAGGAGAAAAAGCAAGCTGTAAAAGCATCACGTATCTTGGCATTACAATCTCAAAGCTGCACTGAGAAGAAAGAAAACAGACAATCTAAGGAAACAGCTGCCTGCAAAAACATATTGAATAGGCACAGTGCCAGAAAGGGGACACGCTGTGAGTGCCACATGTTTACTACTAATAAATACATAAAAACGAGGGACGTTGCTTCAGCAGTCTCAGTGTTAAAATATCAAAAAGACTTTAAAAAAGGTTAAAAATCCAGATTGGAAAGGCAAGTGTGCTAACTGCATAACACAATAATTAGTAAAATCCTGCCATTAATAAAAAGCAAACATGTGAAAACTAGAAGAGACAAATGCTCCTGGTGGGTGGTGTGAAATTGAAACAACCTTTATAAACCAACTTAGAGAATGGGTAGCTAACAGATCTCACTCTCAAATATCACAGTCCCTTTACAGAGACAACTACTTTTCAATTTGCAAGAAAGACAAAGGATTTAGCTTGAAAAGCCAAATTTGTGTGCCACATTTTCTCCCTAAAACCTGTTCCCTTTTCACTTTATGCATTGACACTAATATGCTCATCCAGAGAAAATGAAACTACTTGTTACACCTCATCTACATGCACCAATGTAAGAAAACTAAAGCAACACAGAACTAGGTGAGATTCTTTCTTGCCCATATTCCTGCTTCATTGTACATACTATGTGCACCTTTTCATTGTTAACTGTAAAACTGCACATTAGGATAAATACACACACAATTATTTTTGTTTAATTTCAAATGTTTTATTAGCCTTTTCAACAACACTAGACCCCTAACTGAACATCCACAAGTAGTTTCACACTCTTCGGTTTTAGGTACTTAATTTAGATCTGAAGTTTAGAAGTCACATGCCCCTGTTATACTTAAGAGCGAGATTTTTCCTCTAGAAAATGAGTCAAGGCAGGTACCCTGCACTGAAGCATGCAGAAAAATGTTAAGATAAAACTTCTCTCTGCTAGCCACGCAGGCACTCTCCCAATTTCTGCACCTCTGCACTGTGCTGCCTAAGTTACAACAGTTCTGTCCTCACCCCAAGCCTCAAACTTTTCTGGGCCAGGAGTTGGACTGAATGATCCTGATGAGTCTCTTTCAACTCAGCATATTCTATGATTCTGATTCAGTACTTTCAAACAAAAGCCATAAGCCAAGCTAAAAAAGATGCTGCATATTTCCCCTTTCAGTTTCAGTCCTGCACACTGTGAGAACCTGGAACCTGGTGTAAATGGGCTTTCCAAGGCAACTCCAAATGTAGAATTAATTAGGGTGAAGGACCTTCAAGCTTTTTTCCTTAGATTAGATTATGACTGAGTGACCATATTAAAAGTTGGAGCCGAGTGCAGAGAGTTTGATGAGCTATTCTCCATCTACACTGGTTCTATTTTCATTCATGCTAACATTGCTTCTCTGGGAATAAGGGAGGCCCAGTCAAGATCTACACAGTTGTGCTAAATCAATTTATTGTACCCATTACCAAATATCAATATTTGGATTTTTGTGTGCAGTAGCAATCAGGCCACCAAACAATGTCATATGTTATTTAGGTAGTTACTTAACAATTTTCTTCCAGTTACTCCAGTTTTTTTTCAATTAGTATATATGTTTACATAATAATCTGTATGTCAATATACTTTCCCTGCGTAACTAAAGGTGCTTTCCAAATATTACTTTGACTTCAAAGCTGTGTTGTCAGAACTAAATCACAGTGAAAAAAGCAAGGAACAAAAGAAATGGAAAACTTTGCATTCAACCAAGTCCTGAATCATGTTTGAATGTCAGTGGAATTGGAGGAACTGAACATACAGTATTACAAAATGCAGTGTAGTATTAAATGACCAAAATAAAACACACTTACATGCTCATCACGCAGTTTTAAGCATTAATAGGGGAAAAAAAAGTAGAAATTAATTTTAAGTTCTTACACACAGAAAGTAAAATCACACAGCAGCATGTAAAAGAAACTTGCATTTCTGAAATTCTTTCAGTTTTGAAAATGACTGTGAGGGCTTTCACAGCAGATATGAGGCTGTTGGGCTTGATTCCATTTACTGGCCTCTGCTCAGGAAAGTGTTCACTAGTCCTTGACTCTGGGAACCATTGCAAATGACTACAGGTCTGCCTTCAGCCTAAAGGCAACATTATAGGCTCTAGTGAATCTAGTTCTGCTTTTAATGCCCTTTTGTCTTCTCCTGTGTCTTTTAGAACAGCGCTGTCTCTCTCTTTCTATTGACGTAATTGGACACGATGTTTCAAAATTCCTTTTTATAAAATAAAATGTTCTTCAACTGTGACCAAAATTTCCAGGACAGGCACTCTTTATTTCTTTCTACTGGAAAAGTCTCTAGCATACTGTGGGCACTACTGGAATGAGCTGAGAATCACAAGCTATAGCCCTATTTAAATAGTAAAACATAATAAATGCAAGGTGATACTGTGACTGTTCCTCCCCCCTCCACATTTGCCCTCCGTGGTGCTCCACAAGAACAAACAGGACATTATTTTTAGACTTTATTCCTCCAGAAGGAAGGCATGGAGGAGCTGCTGAGCAACAGCATGAAGGAATGCAGTAGCTAGTTTTCCGAAACAACCAAAATGGCTCCATCTGAGCCTCTGCTCAGAAGAAGTACAGCTTTACTCCTCCTATTCAGTACATCGAATTTTGAAAATGAGATGGGGTGGCTCAAAGGCATGTTTTCAATTCTCAATGCCTAATTCTTCAAAGGAAAGAAACTTGAAGAAGAAAAATTCACAGATTTAAGAGCCTCATTACTGTCCTGGATTAATTGCAGCTATAACAACCTTGCCCAGGTACTATGTAAGGGGTCGAGTCAGCCTCTTTTATATCTAATACACATACCTATACTCTGGCCCAACAAATGTTTTGGTACAGATTGGTGACAATTCAACCCTCGTTTTGAAACTGGTCGTAACACTTGTAACACACAAATTTACAACTAAAGACAGCAATTACCTCTTACCTCCACTGGTACTCCTTACATTATTTTACTTGCTTCATGCTGGAACACCTGTTAGTGTGCATGGAGGGCAAGCAGACACCACGGCGGCGTTGCTTAGACAACTAAATCCAGCTCTAAACACCAAGTCCTATTAATTTCATCCTTACTTTGGCAACACAATGGTAACTCCGAGTGCTCCAAAAGACAGGGTGGCCAATCCAGAAGCCTTTTCAGGCAGTGTGCAGAACCAGGCACTACCAGGTTTCTGTTACAGACTGAAGTTACTTTGTTCAGTGCTTCTGCAACGACTGGGCCTAGCTGAGGCTGTGATGTGGGGGAGGAAGCAAGTGCTGCAGAGTTCACACACGCTCATTCTGGTGCCACTTCACACCACGAAACAGAGCCTGAGCATGTTGCCTTTTGAGGTGGGATGTTGTCGAGCTCACAGCAAATAAATGTGCCACAAAACTTCCACCAGTATCACAAACTGCTGACAAAACCAAACATCTGCTTTTACCCACGAGAAACCTGTGTAATTCAAGGTGTGTGTGAAAATCACAGAATCGTAGAATGTTAAGGGGTTGGAATGAGCCTTTAAAGATCACCCAGTCCCAAACCTCTGTGCCATGGGCAGAGACACCTCCCACTAGACCAGGTTGGTCAAGGTCTTATATGACCTGGCTTTGAACACTGCCAGGGCTGGGGCATCCACAACCTCCCTGGGCAACCTGTTCCAGTGTCTCAACCACCACCACAATGAAAAATTTCTTCTTAATATCTAACCTAAATACACAGTCTTTCAATTTGTACCCATTACTCTTTGTCCTATCACTACAGTTCCTGACCAAGGATCCCTCTCTGGCTTCCCTGTAGGCCCCTTCAGACACTGGAAGGTTGCCATGAGGTCTCCACACAACCTTCTTTTCTCCAGGCTCAGCCCCAACTTTCTCAGCCTCTTTATAGGGGATGGTGCTCCAGTCCTCTTATCAACTTCATGGCCTCTTCTGGCCTTGCTCCAACAGTCCCATGTACTTCTTGTGTTGGGGGTGATGCCTTAAAGGATTGAGGAGAAAAAAACCTCCAAGCCACTTTAGCATTAGATAAGAGCAGGTCTTTTAATAACAGCCCTCAGGCCCAGGGGAATACACAGACACTCATGTGCACCCAGGCAGCGGTTCTACAACTTTACAGTATGGTCCATTCAATCCCGGATTCATCCACCCTCCCCAGATCCTTCCCAGCTCTGCCCCCGCCACGTCCCTCTGGAAATTGAATCAGGGGTCCTTGAGACCCCTTTTTCCTCACCTTCATCTTCTTCGTGGTACTGCATATAGCCCTTGGAGCTTGTCCAAAGTTCTGGGCTTGAAGGTTGCTTTGTCTATTGGAGGTATCTTGTTCGGGTCTAGGGTATAATGTTCTGAAACAGAGGTGTTTTCTACAATTCTACTTTGAACAGGAGTCTAAACAAGATAAAAGAAATTAGAAAATTTGATATGAAATGGGGAGAAAGGGTTTAGCATGTGCTAACTACTGTGCTAAAGTGTAAGGGATTATACAGCTACCTTAAAATTTACTACTGTCCTAGTTAGAACAGCTGGGACCAGTTCATCACTGGATGGGTGTAACCCAAAACTGTGTATTCTGTAGCCTTCCATGCCATTTCCCAGAACCTGTTGTCAATAGACTGTTTACACCCTCTGCCCAGAGCAGCCCTGACTCCTCAGGTTACAAACTAGGTGTTAAGAGGCCTGTGAGACAGGAGGGTGCTCCTGTCCTCACAACCTTTGTGGAACTCCCCGTCCTGAGGGAAGTACTGAACATTCCTGCCTGAACTGGAGGGTATATAATCTTGGAGTCTTGGAACTTTTGGAACCACGCCTGGGATCCAGAGGAAGACCAAGACCACCACTCTCAACCAGACTGAGACCACCACTCTCAACCAGACTGAGACCATCACTTTTCAACCAGATTGCAACCATCACTCTCGACCGGACTGCAATCACCACTCTTGACCAGACTGCACCAGCACTCTCACCAACAGGTATTTTTTTCCCCTCTCCTTTTACTTTGGACTCAGGGGGCCCAACGAACACCACTCTGTTCACACCCCAAGGTGCTGGGTTATACATTTGGGTTTTGTGAGTTAAAACCAATTGCTTGTCTGTATAATTGTACTTATTGTGTTATTTTATTAAATTGTTATTCTGACTTATAATCTCTCCTTTGAGTTGAGTTCATTTCCCCTGCTGGTTTATCTTTAAACAAGCACAACTACACAACTAATTTAAAATCTACAAAAAACTAAAAAATCCAAAAAGCTCTGGGGTATCAGGGGCAACAGAACTGTACAGGTGCTGCAGGGGGATCTGACAAGAGCAGCAGAGAGGGGCAGAACCCCCTCTCTCGCCCTGCTGGCCATGCTGCTGTGGGTGCAGCCCAGGATGCAGTTGGATTTCTGGGCTGTGACCACACACTGCCAGCTCATGTTGAGCTTTTCATCAACCATCACCCCCAAATCCTTCTCCACAGGGCTGCTCTCAACCACTTCTCCACCCAACCTGTAGCTGTGCCTGGGATTGCCCTGACCCAGGGTAACAGTTGAATGGTTTGGCTTGGAAGGCGACTTTAAAAGATCGTTTCTTTCCGACCCCCTGCCATGGGCAGGGACACCTTTCACTGGACCAGGTTGCTCAGAGCTCCATCCAACCCGGCCTTAAACACCTCCAAAAATGGGCCATCCACAGCTTCCCTGGGAAACCTGTTCCAGTGCCTCACCACCCTCACAGTAAAGCATTTTTTCCCAAATATCTAATCTAAACCTACACTCTTGAAATTTGAACCCATTCCCTCTTGTCCTGTCACTACGTGCCCTTGTGTCTTACTTCGTCTTCCTCGTAAGTTCCCTTCAGCACTAGAAAGCTGCAATTAGGTCATCCCAAAGCCTTCCCTTTTCTAGGCTGAACAATCCCAGTTCTGTCAGCCTTTCCTCACAGTACAGGTGGTCCATCCCTCTAGTCATCTCGGCAGCCCAGCAGATCCGCTCCAACAGTCCAATGTCCTTCCTGTGCTGAGCACCCCCGAGCTGGATGCAGCGTTCCAGGTGGGGTGTCCCAGAGCAGAGGGGTGAATCCCCTCCCTCACACCTTGTGCTTCGCTTTGTTGAACTCCATGAGGTTCACACAAGCACATCTCTCAGCTGTGTCAAGGTCCCTCTGGATGGCATCCCTTTCCTCCAGCATGGCAACTGCACACAGGGCTCGGTGTCATCAGCAAACTTGCTGGGGGTGCCCTCGATCCCGCTGTCCCCGTCACTGAACAGCATCGGCCCCAACACCGACCGCTGACAGACACCACCCGTCACTGCTCTCCGCGGGGACACCGCGCCGCAGGTGGGGTCTCACCAGCGCAGCGCCGCGGGGCAAAACCCCCTCCCTCGCCCTGCCGGCCACGCCGCGGGATAGGCGGTTCGCTCCCGGACAAGCCCCGCGTCCCCCCGGCCCGGCTCTCCAGGCCCCGCAGGCCCGGCGGCGGCGGCGCGGGGGGGGGGGGGGGGGGGCGGCGGCGCCCCGTGCGTGCCGCAGCCGGTCACGTGGGCGGCGGGGCCGGGGCCGGGGCCGGCAGAGGCTGAGGCGGCAGCAGCGATGGCGGCGGCGCTGCGCGGGATCGGCCTCCTGCGCGCCCGCCTCGGGCTCCCGGCCGCGGCGGCCGCCACCTCCGCCGCCCTCGGCCGCGCCCCGCACCGCGCCCCGGCCCTGCGGGGAGGCGCCGCCGCCGCTCGCCCCTCGGCCGGGAGGAGCTACGGCTCGCAGGCGAAGGAAGAGGAGGAGCTGCGCGTCCGCTACCTGGACGATGAGCACAAAGGTAACGAGGGGAGCAGGCGGCCCTGTCCCCGCTGCCCCGGCCCGGCCGGGGTGACCCCTGCGGGGCCGGGACAGGGCGGCCCTGCGGGAGCCGCGAGGGGCGGGAGGAGCGGCGGCTCCTCCTCCGCCTGTCACCGGGCCGGGGTTGCGCCGCAGGATGCCGGGAGCTGCCGGCAGGGCAGCGGAGGAACTGGGTCAGCTTCGTCTCTCTTGGCTTTTCTTAGACTCCTTGAACGGTTTGGGTTGGAAGGCGACCTTAAAAGATCGTTTCTTTCCGACCCCCTGCCATGGGCAGGGACACCTTTCACTGGACCAGGTTGCTCAGAGCTCCATCCAACCCGGCCTTAAACACCTCCAAAAATGGGCCATCCACAGCTTCCCTGGGAAACCTGTTCCAGTGCCTCACCACCCTCACAGTAAAGCATTTTTTTCCCAAATATCTGATCTAAACCTACACTCTTGAAATTTGAACCCATTCCCTCTTGTCCTGTCGCTACGTGCCCTTGTGTCTTACTTCGTCTTCCTCGTAAGTTCCCTTCAGCACTAGAAAGCTGCAATTAGGTCATCCCAAAGCCTTCCCTTTTCTAGGCTGAATAATCCCAGTTCTGTCAGCCTTTCCTCACAGTACAGGTGGTCCATCCCTCTAGTCATCTCGGCAGCCCTGCTTCAGATTCCTCCAACAGGTCGATGTCCTTCCCATGCTGAGCACCCCCGAGCTGGATGCAGCGTTCCAGGTGGGGTGTCCCAGAGCAGAAGGGCAGAATCCCCTCCCTCACCCCACTGGTCACGCTGCTTTTGATGCAGCCCAGGACACAACTGGCTTTCTGGGCTCTGAGTGCACATTGCTGGGTCATGTCCAGCCTCTGCACCAGCACCCCCAGGTCCCTCTCAGCAGGGCTGCTCTTGAGCTGTTCGTCCCCAGCCTGTGCTGATAGTGGGCATTGCCCCATCCAGGTGCAGCACCGTGCACTTGGTCTTGTTAAACCGCCTGAGATTCCCACGTGTCCGCTTCTGGAGCCTACCTAGGTCCCTCTGGATGGCATCGTGTCCTTCAGGTGTGTCCCCTCAGCACCGTTCCTTTTCAGAGGACTGCAGTGCAGGTGCTGTGTGTGCGAGGTGCGCCTTTCTGAGTTGTCATCTGTTGGCCACTCCAACTGGAAGAAAATGAAGTTTAGCAGCAAACTGCCAAAGTTGGTGCTGCTTCTCACACCCGTTTTGTGCTTTTGGTCAGAGGCATACAAGGGCATAGAATTTGTATCGATGTTTTCTGTGCCAGAAAGTGTGGCTTCTGCATTCTCTCATCTCATACCACTTTCCTAATAATCCTGCCCTCTTCCTTGCTTTTATAGTTGTCAGCTGCTGCTGACCTTAGTCTGCTCAACTATACCAAGAGTTTTGTTTTAACCCCCTTGGTTAAACAGGGAAAGAAAATCTGTGCTCCATAGTAGTCTGGAGCCAATGCATCACAGCACGGACACTTGGTGCTTCCTCTCCTGGTTTGCTGCTCTCCAGATTTTGCAGGTGTTCTTCCTTCGGAGGTGTTTCACCTCCCTTGGTGTTTGTCACTTCCTTCCCATTTCGGTGCAGCAGGGCTGGGAGTGGTGGAGAAGGAGTAAGTGCAAACTCCATTCCTGAGGATTTATTTTCATAGCCATGATGTTATACCTGCCTTTAGGAGAGGGCAACAGTGTAGAGTTTTCTTCATCTGCAGCACATGTACGTCTTTATATGGAGAGCGTACCTTGGAACTACCTCGTGTTGAGGTGCACAATGCAGTTTATGTCTTTTCAGCATGTTAACTCAGCTATTTCAGACCTGCTGCAAATTCAGGCAAATGCCTGTGAGTTGAGTTTACCTGCATATAGATTTGTGTGCATGTTCAGAGAGGTAACTAAAACTTCAAATTTTAGCATGAGGCTTAGAAGATTATTCTTTTTTTAAAGGGAAAGCTGAGGTTTTGCTTTCATCTGAGGGTAGGTTTTTTGTCATTATTAAGAGTTGATTGTAAAGATGATGTAATCTGATCCTGAAATTACCATCTGTCTTAGTTGTAGTTCTGTTTCCAGCTCTTTCAAGTTCCTTCAAGGTATACCGTAGTCGTGTTTTTCCAACCAACTATGGAATTAGTTTTAAACATCTATTTTGATTTTTTTCAGGATTATTTTAAGTAGAGGAAGAGGCAAGGCAGGAGCAAAGAAGGGGTTGTAAAATGTTGGAGGAGTGTTTTTCCTTGTTTATTTTCTGCTTTACCAAGAAGTGGTGGAAAGTATCATGATCAGTTTTTATTTCTGCTGTTACACAACAAACAATAGAATTAAGTGTTGTGTTCCAGCTGTTGAATCAGCTAGGAATCATTGCTTTTGTAATGTTATGAAGGTGTTTTGTACTGAATATCTAACCTAATGCCCCAAAACACGGGGGTAGTATTTAAAATGAACTGTGGCTATCATAAGAAAGGATTCAATCAATGTATTTTTGATTCATGAATTCTCTTTGACAGAAGGAATTTTCTTTGGCATTAACTTTCAGGACATAGAAGCAAATACTGTTAGAAAAGGATAAGAAGGTGTAGAAGTAAACCAGAAGGAGACATAAATTTCATCTGCCTCCTTCAGCAGCACAAAGAGCAGACGTTTCCACAGAAGAAATATCTCTGCTTTCTCCCTGTAGTGCTATTGCACACTCCCCTCCTCACCTTGTATGCCAGATTCATCTATCTTTATCTGCTGATGGCGTGTAATACCCCTGCTGAATGAGGACACTAACTCTGTATACACCACTGTGATCCTTCTTGCTCTTCTCCAGCCTACCCTTCCTTTTTCTACCTTTTCATGTTGTAGACTTTCCCAAGAGGGACTCCAGTGTTGTGGCCCCATCATAATTTTCCGATACATACTTCTTGACTCCATCCAGGGTCAGACCCTGTCCCTCTGACTACCTTTTACAGCACACAGATGCCTTTTCATGCTGTGGTTGGTCTCTTCCACATGTCTAGTGTTTCCATGCTGCTTGGAGAAGGATATATTTTCCAGGGGCTTTTACGGCTGAGGATACTGGGGAGGAAGGAAAACTGACAGTAACTGCCTGACATACAGGCACCTGTAACTGTAGACAAATCTTTTCCTGCAGGCAAAGTAGCAAACTGTTCTGCTTCATATCACTTTCACGGGCTTTGTATACCCCAGGTTTTGGAAGTTGTTAAACCTAAACTGAAATGGTAGTGTATTTGAAAAGGCTGGTTATTAAAATTTTAACTCAAGACTTTCCAGCTTCCAAATTTAAGCTGAACTAGAACTGTTGAGATTTTTGAAAGAATGTAATTGTAAAACACCTGTGTATTCTGCACATATTGCAGCTTTTGAAGTATTTAGTATTGGTTTTCTACGAGTGAAGGTGACCGTCAGTGCTTTAGTATTTTTTAATTAAGTATCTATCTTTTACTTTATTTGAGATTCTATCTGATTATCACTAGGGCTGCAATGTATTACAGCTGTTGACTTTTCAGAACTTTTAGCCAAGTTGCATTTGTGATCCTGTTACAAATTTAAATGAGCTTAGTGCTTTTGCTCTTTAAGTTATAGGTGGAATTAGTAGAAATATCTTCTTAGTCTTGATGCCAGTGTTGCAGTGTCACTTGCTGGAATGTGACATAAACATTTGTAAAATTTAGATTTTACACTAGAATGACTTGTTTTTCTTAAGTTTTCCAGCTGATTTTAGTTCAGTTTAGAGTATGTAAGACAGCTTTTGGTCCTCATCAGTTGGAATTTTAACATACATAGAACAGGCAGAACAAATATGGTCTCAGTTGAAGTTGTTTGCATAGAGTAGAGGTTGGAAACTGATAGCTAGCTGGTGAATTGGAAATACTTTTCCTGCTATCTTTAAAGCAGGGCTGAGCAGGTGAGATCTACTAGTTTAAGAAGTGCAGAAAAAAATTGAAGTGGTATTTAGAGATGAAGCAGGTGCAGATGGGGATTTTGAAGAGTGTTTTGGTGTTTTTAGAAAGTACTGTCTAGTAAACATTGGTGTGATTTTGCACTTAAATACTTCTTGATAAGGTTGTTAATGGAAGCCACCAGAATTGTGCATGATATGCTCACCATATGTTCTTGTTTTACTTAAGAAACTATCCCAGAATAATAAATATCTAAGTCAACTTGTTTGCCTTGGTTTATCTGAGTAGTTAAGTGAGACCAACTTAAAAGTAACTTAGCTCTCTTTGATCATCCTTCCATTTTTCAGTGCATAATACAGACTTTTTAGAAATATTTTTTTTAGTTGTGGAAGATTACATTTTTGTGTGTATATTTAATACAAACAGATAAATACAATTTAGAATTCTACAAGTACTTTTTATGCAGGTTAGTAAATCTTTCTGACTCTGACAAAATTACCAATATGGGTGTAATGACAGGATTTATTTCTAAGTGACCATATAAATGCATTTCTACCAAACATTGAGGATGAATGTTTTGATCACTAAAAGGTACAAGATAAAAGAGATAAAAATCATTATTTATAAGTAAGATTTCCTGAGTGTTGATAAAAACTGTAGTTAAACCATGGTCTAATCTCTTCATGTTATGCACATATTAAATTTAGCGGATGCTATGAAATCAGGGCGT